CAAACGGTAAAATTTCGTTCTCACTAATCCTCTTTCGGAGCCGTTTTCCCCTACATGCCACACGGTGCCTTTTTTCCCAGGACATATGACCGGACCGCCCGAAGCACATGAGGATCAGGGAAACCCAAAGATAGAAAATCCTTTGGGGACATTTTTTCCTACTTTCCATCTGGGGCCTTTTTTTCCGGGGCCTTTTTTTCCGGGGCCTTTTTTTCCGGGGACATTTTTTCCGGGGACATTTATTCCGGGGACATTTTTTCCTACACCCGTTTTCTACAGTGTGTGCTTTGGCTGCATGCATATAAAGACAAAAAACACTGCCTATATGGTGCATAAAATAAAAGAAATTTCGTTCATCTTGATAATGTTGACTATCTATTGTGGTTCTCCTTGGGGCCACTGCCTTTGGGAGTACCACGTTCGCGGCGAGACGCTCTACCTCGAAGCGGGTTCGTACTCGCGTGGCATGCTGCTCGTCGAGCGCAATGAGACACCAGTCACGTTGGTAAAGGTGTATCCACACGACGGACCGGGCCGCGGACCGACTGATCACGTGATGCTCGGTCCGCGGGCCGCCTGGCTGCAATGAGCATCCACACGGCGGACCAAAAGAGCAGACGACAGAGTGAACGGGCCGGTTTAACTCTCGACCTCACAGCTCCGCCAAACGCATGCAGCGAGCTGCTTTGAGGCTATTTGTAAGGAGCCAAGATGGAGATTGAACGAAAGAGACGTTTGGCCGCGGTGGTTCTGGCGTTGACTATTGAGGACGAGGAGGACTTAAGTGAAGCGAAAAGGGCATGCATCTATTGTCCCACAGGGCGGGGAATCGCTCCACGAGCGCGATGAAGTAAAAAGTTGCATCGTCGCACAATGCCGCCATCGTCGTACAACAAAAGGTTCCTCTTCTTCGTCTTCAACAGTTGGCGCCAAAAGAACACGACTTTGGATTTGGATTCCAATCCAAACAACAAAAGTCAGCTTGTTGCCAGACTTAGCACTTCAATTATACTAAAAACGCCGCGGTCCGCCGCCAAGGTCCGGGCTAGAAAAGTGCTTGGCATTTCTCACAAGCGCGGGCCGCGGACCGCCGGCGGACCTCGAAAACCGGTGACGTAAGATCACGTGATGCGCGGCCCGCGGACCAAAACAGCAATTTGGTCCGTCGTGTGGATACACCTTTAAGGTGATAAACTCTGTTTATTTACAAAGAAACAAATAACAACAAAACAGCGGCAATAAGCTGGTGAACGCCGTCGGTGTGGAGATTGCCCACGGCCGAACGGTCGTTCACAAATGTACAAAGGACGGGGTAAACGCTCACCGGTGCGCCGGAAGGTTCCCCGCTGTCGTCGCCGCCGAATCCCAGGAAGAAGAGCCCAGCGAGAAAAAAAATTGGCTTGCTCTTTGATGGAGATGCGCCTCAACGGGTAATCGGTCTCTTAGCTGTAGATGAGAAATTTGGCCAGTGCGGTACAACCGCTAACCTGGGGTTTTTAACGTGCATCACGCAGTAGTGATCACACGAACGCGTGCCGGTACGAAACTCATCCAGATCGAAACGGGCGGGGGCGGCGGGGATCGAACCCAGGAGGTTCCCAGCGCAAGCTTTCGCTCCACGCTCCGAGCTGAGACGCGTTAGCCCACTCGGCCACTTCCTCCCTAGCCCAGCGAGACTGCTGTCCGCTGGTTTTAACGGCGGGGCGAAGTGGCCAATCAAGGAGCGACACGTCGATCTCCTTTGTGAGGGGGTTCGTTACGGAAATCGCCCCTAGGGGGGAGAGGAGGAAGCCACTCACAGTAACGTCCCTGGATATTTTTTTCGTTTTTACAGGTAGCGACAACTTTCCTCCTCTCCATCTACGATTCCTCTTTCCCCACAAAATTTTCTCCTCTCCCTTTCTAGCGCCGCCATTCGCTTCCTAACGTCAGACGGGAGGGCGGTTGCGTTGTGTTGTTATGTGGTTAGCAGTAGTGTAGTGTTCCTTGTTTTGGTAAATTCCAGCGCGTGAAATTAATGTGGATATCATCGGGTTACTTAGGTGAATCGAAGGTAAGCTGTTATTTCCGCAAAAGCACATATATATATATTAATATTTTGCCGCAATCCCTATCATACCGCAGCGAGAGCTTTCGCGAGCAATGCTCTCGGCGATGCTAGGTATGTGCGCGCCTGCGTTACAATAAACTATATTTCTAATAAAGACATGCCTTGTGAAAATTTCATTCCGTCGTCGATAGAGCCGCATGGTTAAGCTATTCTGAGAACTCTATTTTGTTTGCAACCATTCTCCCTCGTGGCGAGCGTTGGTAATGCTACGCAAACGTGTGCACGGTGTAGACGCAAACGCGTCTGGAACTCATTATTTTGGAGTGTATCTACATGACTTCAACACGCATTTTGTTATAAGTACTAGTAGCAGTGTTTGGATGGAAAACAAACGTCGTGCAAAGTAGTGACCTTGACGAGTTTGGACGGTGCGAGATCCGTGCGGATGAATTTACAGCACTTAACTCACCAGTCCCAAACAATATTTTGCGTGAAGTTACACCAATGCACGTGTTATCCCCACATGCGATAACGGGCAATCTCGTCCTCGAACCTCTACTGCGGAGCCGTGTTTGGTCTTAAATAACTCTGTGAAGGATTCTAGTTGGCAACTTTCGCTGTTTTTAATTGCTGGATAGCATACCTTCAGCGTGCAGTGAAGAAATGTGGCGTACAACTTTTATTATTTCGCCACCTTAAACGGTGAATCCAAGACCAATTTTATTAGATCGCGTTCAAGGAATTCGTTATGAACGTGTTTAATGTCTCTGTCTACCTTTTGCTGCCTAGCTTCCACTGTAACATCCACGTAGATATTTTTTTAGACAAAACCCCTGAAACTGGGGGAAGGAAGGAAAACACAACACGAAGCACATGCATTGTGCAGATATTTTTCTTTATTTCAGCTCTTGTCGTGCGATTATATATACTGTATATATCAAAAAACAAGTGTTGAAACTCATGAGCAGTGCAGTAAGATATAATTAATGTAATTGAGTTCATTCAAATGCAAAGCACATTAATAGTAAATATGGGAAGAGCCCAACTTTGTTGTAATTTAATTGAACTGCCACATGTTATGATATGTATGCAGTTTGTGTATTCATGGTAGTGAAGATAAGAAAGTGTCTTGAATAAGACAACACAGATTTTTTATTTTTTATTCAAGATCTTTTTAGGAAGTAATCAATGTTGCAGTCGAACAAGTCATCCCACAGGAGATTAGGAGAATATGCTTAAAAAAAAGGATAACACAAAAAGAAACAGCTACTAGGGTGAGCTAGAGGGGGATGTGTGCTCATTGCCTACTTCGCTCCATTTTAGTAATCCAGGATGGAAGTGTGAAGAAGAGCACCCACAGCATGACTTCCAGCCTACTATGCCAAAGCAGAAAATGAGCACACCATACCCCTCCAGCCCACTCTACCAGCACTCTTACAGCAGAGAAGACGCCATGGAATGTTTTTCTTGCATGTGATCAAGTCCTTGTCTTTCTCTTCATATAAGTGTGTCCTCTCTTTCGCCTATTAGCACTCAAAAAGATCAAGATGTCCATGGTGGTTGTGTTTCCAATTTTGTGAGTGCCGAAATACTGGTTTTCTGGTGTTTATCGGAAAACCAACGACTGTGTCACTGCCAAATAGGGATGGAAACACTAAATAAAAATTCTCCGAGCGTTGGAACTGAAAATTCCTCCGAAATCAACGACGTCTCGCGAGTGCAACGGCCACTGCCATTGCCATTGCCATTGCCATCGGCAACGGTTACTGCCATTGCCGATGATAACAAAAGTGCCAACCCAACCGGCGATAACCACCAACCGACCTGAATGGCGATGATGATGAGAATTTTCAGTGACAGAGAAGTGGCTTTTGCGGCGATTGTGAGGCGAGCCGACAGGGAAACGACAACACCAGAAAGATGGTTGGCCCTGGTGATCAAGCGAAGTAAAGGACCACATGGACGGATGCCCAATGGTTGGTGGCCAGAAATAACAATCAAGTATAATCGGAAGCATAACCAGAATGTAACGTCGACAACGATGAAAAACAGGCATACACAGTGCAAAAATCAACAACAGCCTACTCAATCGGGCAGTGGTCAGGCGGCCGAAGAAAGAGAATGGCCGTTGCCAGCGGCCATAACAAACAGCAAACTGTACACCAATATAAAGAATCTGCAGGCCGGTAACATTGAGCTGGCCCTTAATCACCAAACTGACTGAAAGAGAACAAGAAAGGTATACAGTCAGGAAGTAAACTATCAGGTTATCGGGATCGAGCTGGAAAAGAAGGTGAATATTCTAGCAGAGCTGAATGATTTGATCTGCGCATGCCAGCTGTTATATGAGGAGGTGACAAAAGGAAGTTGAACTGAAAGGGGGCCATTAAAATAAAGATAAAGGAGCTTAGTCAACAGCTGCAAATTGTCACCAGTCAAACAGAACAAGGCTCCCTCGAGAGCATTAAAACGAATTTGCAAAGCCAACCAGTACCACTCTAACAACAAGGACCAGTTGAAGAAGCTTGAGGACCAGATCGAAGAGGAAAGGGCAGTCTTTCACAAAAAACCGGTCACTGCGGCAAACCAAATTGAGTATCGGAAAACGAACAAGCTGTTCGAGCTCAATCGGTCTGCCTTCTACCGGAAACTTGATGAAGACCAAAAGGAGATGGACGAGAACACTGATGTTGATTAGGTGATTACTTTCTAGCAAGGAATCTGGGCAACCGATGACGAAGAAGGGGAGCACCAAGAATTGACCTATTGGACCCAGGGGAGGTGTGCATGACTGCGATGTACATGACTGGACGGAGGAGCCTGCTGCCAGGAATGAGGGAACCGCACCCGAGTAGCAAGCAAAGAGCACAGCCAGCATCAGCCCTACCGTTCACTTCTACACACGACTGTCATTCGTTCAGGGAAATGCCTTATCCTTCGAGGCACTCGTCCACTCGTCCCCTGCGGTGTACCTGGCTGGAAGAAGGAGCCTGCTGCCAGGGATGAGGGAACCGCACCTGAGTAGCGAGCAAAGAGCACAACCAGCATCAGTCCTGTCGTTCACTTCTACACATGGCTGCCATTCAATCAGGGAAACGTCTCACCCTTTGAGGCAGTCGTCCCCTGCGGTGTACATGGCTGGACGGAGGAGCCTGCTGCCAGGAATGAGGGAACCGCTCCTGAGTATCGAGCAAAGAGAACAGCCAGCGTCAGTTCTGTCGTTCACTTCTACACACGGCTGTCATTTGTACTTTTATAAGGAATGCTCATAATAGTGGAGGGAGCTGCTTCCTGCAGCATTAATCGAGAATGGGCATAAAGCACTTATATGTTCTGTGTGTAATTTCATGCAAAAGCAATATTGCACCCTTTGGCATTGACTTACTTTGTTTAAGCACAGAGCGCTGACCAGCAGTTCTTATTAGGATGGAGCCTGCCATGTTCGATTTTTGTACTGAGACTTGCAGTGAACCTGTAAATTTTGAAGGCACAAAATGAAACCCCACAATATGGTGCATGCAGCAGACATTTGTATGGCAGAGTAGTCAATGGTCACAGAAATGCATTTGTTTTGAGAGGGACCAATAGAGACAAAAAAAAAAGAAATTGTTGTCGTGCTTCCACCAATAGACCCACCTCACCAAGCGTTCGGCGCATGCATGAAGGTGCCATAACTTTAGTTCACAATAGGTAGACGGTGGTGCCCGAAACGGCTTGTGCTGTCTCACGCGCAGAGTTCCAGTGTTTCGGGCACGTGCAGAAAGACTGAAGTTCCCTCAATGCATTGCGACAGCGATGGCGCGTAGTCGAACTGGCTGGTGAGATCGGTCTATGGCATGAATTTTGTACGCCTCACCCCACTGGTGTTAAGGATGGTTCTGACCTAACATAGTGCGACACTGTTAATGCAAACAAGGGATGAAAAATGTTCATATGGGGCACAAAGTTGCACCCTATTATTTGGTGCCAGCATTTACTAATTCAAAGTAAAATGCAAAGAGTGCCGCAGTTGTACTCGCACTAACAATGTCATGCAGTATTTGTGTCTGGCCATCATGTTACTCAGCAACTGCAGCATCCGCATTGGGCACAAACTCCCAGTCGCAGCTTTGCATCTCGCTGGAGTGGGTGGCTGTGAGTATGAGCAAGGCTCGTGCTGAAGCCGGGAATTTTATCAGCAGGCAGTTAAATTCCACTCGCGCTGTTCATTACAGCAGCGACCAGGGGCGGATTTAGAGGGGGGGGGGGGGGGTCCGGATGTCCTGACCCCCCTCTTGATTTTTGCATGTGTAAAATTTAGGACATAAACTTTTTTATGATGTCCTGGGTACATACTGCACATATACGCATGGCAGGATAGTCAATTGTTGCAGGAATGCCCAAGAAAGCACATACCACATTTGAGATGAGCAAATACAGGCCGAAAAAGAAGGAACGGAAGAATTAGCCCAGAGTATGCCTGGCACACGCTCGAGTTAAGGATGATTGTGACTGCATGTCGCTGCGTGTGTCCGGCTACTAAATGCTGGAATTGCGTCTGACTCACCAACTGGAGGGCCCGCCTGAGGCACAGACTCCTGGTCGCAGTTTTGCACTTTGCTGGATTGTGCCTCTGTGTGCGTGGGCAAGGCTTGTGCTGAAATTGTAAACTTTGTCAGTATGCAGTTCAATGCTACTTGCATTAATTCATCACCTTGGACAAGCATATTCTCAATAATCTGTGGAGGAAATACAACACCTGTGAGAGCAGCAGTTTAATTCAGAGATGGAAGCGTCTGGATGCTGTCTTCCTCCTGCATTGGCTCCCCTGCTCAAAACAGGTAGCACTTTAATACCAAATCTAGCAACCAAGTGACAGCAAATTCAATATCTCTGACTGTGCCAACTTACCTTGGATATTTCCCTTTCTCGCGGTGGTCTTCGAACTGGCTTTGGCAGCCTATGGCTAAACTTGGTGGGGACAGCGTCTGGTTTAAGTTTTTTGATGCCATGGCTCTGCCAGATCCGAGGTTCAAACTGATCCGGTGCAAAATGGTCCTGTCGAGAATGAACAGGGCTAACTCGCAATTCACGGGACAGTGCACCGAGAACACTGAGAAATTCGACTTTGTTTGGAGGTAGAGAGCGGCACACTGTTAGTACAGAAGAGTGATCGCCGCTTTTTTCTCTATCGAAATCAAAAATTCGTCAACAAAACAGCTAGTGCGGTGGCAAGGGCTAATTTGGGACGCTAACCTAAGTGGTAAAATTTGGTGCAAAGCAACACTCCATGGAAGTAAAATACGTAGAGACACCGATGCTCTGTTCGCGCTAACAGTGCCGCGCATTGTACGCCTTCCCCGCGCGCGGACAGTACGAGCTGGAACACCCGATCCTACCTTTTTCTGCGACTCCCACAAGCTCCATTATTCCTCAACTTCGCTTTCTATTCCTAGTTCAGACCACAGCTCTCTCAAAAACAGGTGGTAAGTCAAAGAAGCATGAAATGGGTTTTCGGCTCATATTGTCCTCGGTAGTAGCGTTTCGTGTTTCCTAGAGGTTCACTGCGAGAGACTCACAGCTGAAGCGGCCAATCGGCGGCTTCATCCATTCATATCGTGTCCCTTAAAAACTCAGACTACGCGAAAAACTTTACCGGCGAACAACCGGATTTCCGAGTGAAAAACAACAGGCTAAAACGGCAGAGCACCGAGGCCGCATTTCAGCTGAGACCGAGTTCGGCAGTCAGGCGCGTCAGGAAAAACATTGCATGCGTACCTATGTGAACGTCTGTGGAAGAGGTAACTAGCCCAGAAATGCTTACCTCACAAAGCTTGCTGCTTCTGGTAGGGACGAAGTTTTTTCTCCCAATCATGTGGAGCCATGCCTTCTGCCTCTTCAGATCGGCTTTCCGAAGCGGAAAGGCGAACAACTTTTTTCCACTACCAGAACTCTGGCTGCACGCAAAAGCGCAACACCCCGTCATCTAACACAAACGCTTACTAGTTCACTTGCCTCATTACGGTCCAGAAACACCAGGACGTCGAGCTAAAGTCATCGGCGAGTATCACGAAACACGGGAGCGGACGGAGCAGCCGAGCAGCTTGGAAGCAAATGGCGGACGGAAGTGCCGACAATTCCGGAAATCACGTGACATCGCTCTCCTCCAATAGAAACAGATGTCGGCGCGGCAAAGAATGACGGTACTTGTAAAACGCAGTGAAAAAACATCGAGGAACTTTAACTCACAGTGGTAAGCAGCGCCGCCTCTCGCTACGCCAGCGCGGCCGCCACGGCGCGCCAAAACGCTGACGCGACAGAATGTTGAGGGATCACAATCCCCACACTATTGAGTGCTGTTGATAGTAGTGGCGTAGCTAGGAACTTCTAAGGGAGTGAGGATGGAGGGGGGTTGAGGCGGCTGGGATGTTCATGACTTGGGGTGCGGGGGGGATGGTGTCGGAATTTGTGTGTATACACCAACTCATCCCTGTGACGTCACGGCGCGGTGGTGGCGCGTCGGTCGCACTTCCGGTCTGGGGCGGTGGGCAGAAGTCCCCATGCCAGACGTGTATTCCTGCGTTGTTTTGAAAGGAACTGACAAAAACCGGCTTTTTCGTCAAAATGCCGCGACTGGGGCCGTACCAAAAGTGTCGAGATAGGTTTGAAGGTCAGTTTTCAGGTGCTCGGTTCGTCCGAGAATCTGGATATGTGCCGTAAAAAGGCCTTCGGACAACGATTGCTTGGGCGGGAAGCACTTTGGGTTGAATTCACGGATACTTGTGGTCATCAGATTTATTTGTTTTGTTGCAACATGAACTCAAGAAAACCATCAAGTTGTGCGGACCACCTGCGGACTACGTTCAGTGCGTCTTCAAGTTCAAACGGCCGCCTGATCATTCGAGCTGTCGTCTGCTCTCTCAAACGTTTCTGCTTGTCGTCTGCTCTCTTAGACGACGCCGGCCCGTATATGTTGGCCCGGTACTTGCGATAAGAAGTAAGTGCAGACCTCAAAAGACTTACGTTTGAAGGTTGGTAAGCAGGCTCGATGTAAACAGTAAATACAAGATGTTGATCATTGTTACCAGTGACTATCACTGACTTGCTATGCCTAATTGACTTGGTCCGATTCTGCTTGCGATTTTCAGTATCGACGTCGACCATCTCAGCTGCGGTTCACGCTTTTGCAGCCCGAGCAGCGTCGCGACTGAAAATTGCGAGCGAAATCTCATCATGCGAATCAGGTTTTAGCGTACATACTGCGGCGTCCACGCGGAATGAATCGCCACATGTCACATTATTCGCGCGAAGTTTCGCGGTGTAACGAGCCTTGGTAATTTCGCTGACGCCGCTCAAGTAGTCAGATATCGCCAGGAAGACGTAAAATCAACAACTCGAACGCGAAAAAGAGCAGGGGGACTCACAGCGACGCCGATAACATCCCTTTTGAATGGTTTGTCTATGGGCGACGGCGAGCTTCTTGCCCACACCCCCCTCGTCCGCTAGGGGCGCTCTGGTTTGTTTGTAAACATGAGTTGGTGTATATACTAGGGCCCGCCGGATTTGGGGAGGGAAGGAGCGAAGCCCCATAACCTCCCCCCCCTCGCCCCCCCCCCCCCCCCCCCCTCTGGCTTTGCCACATAAGGGGAGCATCCTACATTCACAGGCTGCTATAAGCATGTGCATAGCCACTGAGCTCGTACCACAATGGCAAGATAGTTGCTGACATTCCTCACGTTACGTAGCAGTTCTTTCTTTAGTACATATGCTCGCTTTTCCTTCACACATCTACTCTGCCTCCGCTTGTCGTTTATGCTTGATGGTGATAAGCCAACAGTGCGTATTTGCTCTGCATCACAGGCAAATTTCAAAAAACCAGCTCACACTACTCTTTAATTTCAATGAGTTACTGTCACTTTTGAAACGACAATCTATTTAATTGCTATAATAACCTTTACATTAAACACACGTTTGTTGAATGTAGGACAATTTTATTTTTATTGTTTTTTTTTTGGTCACGAAGATGACAACCATCCACAAAACACTGGCTAAATTTCTCGTCTACAGTGGGTAACAATGTTACCATACTCTGTCAGACTAAACTGCTGCTGTCTAGACAAGTAACGATTCATTTTAGGACAGACGTGTTCGTGGTTTATTGCAGGGCATCGAAAAGTGTTCTTATGACTTTCCGATGACTGACTTGCAATTCCAGCATCTTGGCGTGAAAAAGTAAAATATCTAATTGATACAAAAAAATGCCATCAGCAACCCATCCAGATTTTATTGCGTGATTGACAGTAGCTACAGACCGCAACAAATTGTCAACTGAAGACATACGTACTAAGCGTGCACTAACTTCGAAGCGGTAAAAACCCCGAAGTTTAAACGTCAACTTACCACCATGTTGTTAATGGCAAAATGGTGTTTGC